CACACACACAAAAGGAACTCACTTTTGGAAATTCTGGCAAGGTGCAGGGGCAGGATATATATAAAAGAGAAAACAAACTCCCACGGACTGGATGAATTCCTGTGAGCTTGCCGCAGAGTTTGGCGGAAACAAACCCCATTGAAGTCGGAAGTTGGCAATGCCAGCTCATGCAGCATAGAAACGTTTTCTGTTGCTTGTGTTACGGGCATGCGGTTTCCTTGAAAGGCCGGTATTGTTTGTGTTTGTGTGCCGGAGGAGGGCTCTTGCCAGTGTCACAGCAAGCACACCATTCCCGGGTTTTGTTTGTCCGGTAGCTTCCGTGCTCAAAAGGTGATGTAATGTCTCATCTGTCACGGGCACCATGAATGTGATCATTCATGAAACGTTGCTGTAATTTATTTTTGTTTGTGTTTTTTTTCTCCTCCCTTTGTTCTTGTTGTTGTTGTCGTTGTAGCGGCAGCGGTGGTTGGTAGTGATGGTGGTAGGGAGGTCTGGAATAGTCACATGAGAATTGTGACACGAAAAGCGTTCTCAAATCCATTGGAACTTGTCAGAGCAAGTTGAAATCCAGGTCAGCTTGTGCGTTCGAGTCATTTGCATTTATAGTGGCACAACTGTGAGTGTGCAAAACAAGCCGTTAAAAGTTGCATGCTGTTTGACGACGTACAAATGAACCCGTGTGCAGTTTCACATTGCAGCTTTCCCAAGTTTGTGCAGTCTTCAGAAGGAAATAAAAAATAAAAACAAGCCTTAATTAAATGCGTGGAATTGCGAGCTTGGCTTGTCCCCCTGCAGCCTTGTTGCACGTTTGTTTTCCTTCTCAAAACACCACTTTACAGTATGCTTTCAGCTTGTAGCAGTGCATTCTATTTCGTGCATACAAAAATAACATTCAGACGACAGCAATTAATCATTTGCTGCATATAATAATAATCTTACTGGGAGGTGCCGTGCCAAAGAGCTTTCTATCCAAGATTGGAAGATGTGGTGAGTTCAAATCCCAGCGTATTTGTCAGACTGCACAGGCAAATGTGGAATTTTACAGCACGCGAGTCAGGGCTTCTAGGTGTATGAGCCACCAATCCGTGTTCATTTGAGCCGGGAGACCTGCCTTCAAGTTGCACGTTGAACATTTTCGAACAAAGTTTGCGTGTGGCTATGCGGCGACAGAGTGATCATTCAGAAGCGTTAGAAAAGCTCGCAACGTCGCCGATTAAATATTCACGCAAGCGGCAACCGCGTTCAACCGCAGCCGAGCGGTGACGCACGCGATGTTCGCAGAAACTTTAACTTCCGTGACCTCTGCTGGATTGAAGAGGAACTGTGTGCAAGTGAAATCGTATACAGTATTGTGACCTTTGCACGGAAAGCTTTTGACACGTACACGCACAGCACATACGGAGAGATTTCGGCGGGGGGGGGGGTCGCAGTGTTAAAAAAAAATGCGAAACGGGTTGCTCGGTGGCACGTGTCTACCATGTGACGCTCAGCTGCTGCTTTGAGAAATGCTACCCATGCTCACGATGGGGCGAGTGAGAGCAGTGTGGGTGGGTGGGGGGGGGTGATGTTGATGAGCTAGAGGGATTGCGAGGGAGAGGCTTGGCAAACGCCAACTGCGTGACCAGAGCACACAGGGGCGACAGCATCCCAGACTGACACGGCATCCCAGACTGACACGGCATCCCAGACTGACACGGCATCGGCGCATTCTCAGCCGTGGCGTGCGTGTCGCCTCATTGGAATTCTCTGGGCAGCGTTGCTCTCGGTGCACTCGGGTTCTGAGCCGTGCCACATCTTTGCTCAACATTGGACGGTTTTTCTTGGGTGTCCCAGTGTTTGCCGGGGGTAATTTTGCTGGCGTCTGTACCAAATTGTCACATTTTCCCAAATCTCACAAATTGCTTGTTTTAGTCGGAGGTCATTTCGGTGTTGTGTATGGAGTACTGACCAGCGTGGCGAAGTACAGTAAAAAGATCAACGATAATCCATCACCGAGACAGTACGGGTAGGCTTTCATCCATCAGTGTATTGACAAACGTCTATAAATTGTCATATCAGAGTACCGATGACGTTTTCCTATGGATAGACTGGCGGCCTGCCACGCGATTGTGGATGTTTCACCACTAGCGCAGGACTGCACCGAGAGACATGAGTGCCTTCTCAGTGCTTGTTTGAGCAGGGAGACATGTTGACTTTATTTGGCCTGGAGTGCTTTCTGAAACATCAGCACTGTCTGCCCGGCGGAGATATTGATTCTCGACGCAGAAATGTGGATTGTTTGTCACTGGAGCGAAGCTGCCAGCAGAGATGGCCACCAACAGTTCCTCGCTCGAGTAAGAAGATACTTGAAATGTAGCCCTCCGATGTGTTTTCGGGTTGGACCGATTGTTGTCTGTCGCGATGTCCGACATTTCACTCCCCGTGCTGCTGGGAGCTTCTCCACATGCGGGGGAGAGGAACGACGACATCGTGCCAACCAACTCGCAATGCAAGCCGGGACACGTCGGAGAGCCGTGCAGCACAACCGCGAAAACCTACGCGCTAGTAACACTGAATTTATTTCATCCCCGTTGCATTCCTTTCAAAACACCTTTCCTATGCACATGTAGTGCAAAGGCGTATCATGGACACAATATTTGTTCTATTAGCGTCCATGGGCCCCAAGGAATTAATAACAAACACGTAAAGTATAAGTTTCATCCCCCATGGGATTAAGTTGAATAGTTAGCACACGTTCCAAGTGCCATTGACTTAAGTGACACTTTCTGAACATAAAACATTAACATCATCCCTCTGCCGTGATTGCCCGCCCTCTTGACAATCACAACTTTCCAGCGTTAAATTACCTGCTCGCCTTATTTGTGCATAAAGTAGGGCATGTAAAACAAATTGCCCGTGCAAACTCAGCAAACTTATCATCTCCGCCCCAAGGATATAATCCCACAAGGCCATGTTTCATTCGCATCCCTCAGTTTGGAAAAGAGATCGCATGAGCGTAGTGTTTCAATTTATATGATAATCTGTGATTTAATCAAGCATTGAAAGGCAAACCAAAACCCTGTTTTATAAATTACCGTATGAATTGTATTTACTTCAATTTGGGTTTACATATATAAAGTATATGCGAACGGCAGTCAAATTTACTTGAATTTGATAATAAGCATACATGCAAACTCGCACACCTTCACTTATATTTGTTATATTGCCATACCTAACACTCATACCTTCTTGGTGTCTTATGTGCAAAGTAACCCTGGTATTAAATACATATATTCGTGTAATATTTTTCCCACATCCCTTACCATCATCCCAGCACCCTCACCGTTAACTTAGGCTGGGTTCGAGTGTTTGATCGTCCAGTTGCCGCAGTCGAAGGCAGACTTTAGGAAGCCTTCGGACTGTCAGAAATATTCGGTGACCATTTGCTCTTCCAACATATCGATACTGACACGGCTCCTTCAGCCGATATGGCAATAACACGTTGCTGCATGACATAACAGGGACAATGCTTGAATTTATATTGCGCCCATAACGTAGCAAAACGTCTCGGAGCACGGTTGTGGGGGGGGGACATGCTGATGGTGGTTGTTCCTGTGCATTACAAGGTGACTCAGAACCAGCCTGCAAACGGGCAATAGTCTGCCAGTAGGGGGGCAACGCTTAATTCGGCGAGTTTGGACAATGAGAGCATCACACACAATGGCCTACTGTTTTCGAATGACATCTCAGGATCTTTAACTTTCCCCATGAAGCAGACGGCGCACATCTTCTGGTTAATACACGCATAGTATTAACCAGGGCGTCCTGCCGGTTTCCAATCATCAACCTCTGCAGTAAGTGGTAAATGTGCTACGGCTGGGCCGTGTCCACCGCCCCCTGTTTGTATGTTGAACTTATTTTGCACCGTACTTAGTCAACCGTGATAATCGGAGGTGTGAGGATGTATGTCCTCATAATGCCTACAAGTGTTTCTCATGTTTGTTCTTCATATACAGATTGCTGTGTATGAATAGCCATACACAATTGGCGTAGATGTGTTTGAGTGTGTTGGGTGCATGTGGGGGCAATGGCTTTGGTTAGTAAGGGGTGAAACAATGAATAGATTAACCAGAATTGATTCTTAAGTGCACACAAATACAGGCATGGAATCATGTGTGCAAAAACTGGATTTTTTTCTAGATTTGGCTATGTTCCATATTTATGATTCACATCACCCCAGCACCCACTGGTACGTGCTACCAGAACCTTGAATTGCAACAATGAATTACATTTTTGTGTTTGTGTGGGAGCACGGGTGAATTGTTCCACCATTAGTGGTCGTGTATTAAACATCAATTCCATCTCCCTGAGTTAATTTCCAAGCCGTGGTGGCCCAACATCACTTAGAATACATGTATAACCGCAATCGGGTGACGGGTGGGGCTGTGATAACATTTGAGCCTCATAGCAAGAAGAGCCTGGATTCGCTTCCCAATTCGAGCTCTTTTCTGCGTGGAGTTTGTATGTTCTCCCACTGTTCGTATTTTACAATTTCCACCCATAGCCAAAATAAACAGTGTAACCGGTATTGGCCAAACATCCCAATGCCGAAAACTTGCCTCCAAATCATTCAGGTGGGATTACACGCGGCAACATTCCCCACTAATGTGAAAACTTGGCAAGTCCCTCCTGAAAAAAGTGTTGAGACTCAATGGAGTAGTTTTCCTGGATAAACAAACAATAATAATAAATTGTAAAAATCAAAATAACACCCAAGGACTCTACTTGGTTGGCTCAGACTTAAACATGGACTTTGCACTGTTGTGTCTCAACACCCACATTGGGAAGACAGAGGTGACTGGAATTAGTGTGGTGCCCATTCAAACCATTGCATTGTGTACCGTACTGGCCTGAATAGACATTCGCTAATGTCACTTGGCTGCAGCAGTATATTCGGGCGGAATGCAGCTATATGTAACTGAGGATCTTTGTCTTTGTGTTTTGTATGTGTGTGGTTACAGGCCCAGTGGTGTACATCCTAGACCTGGCCGATCGCATGATCTACAAGGCATGCCCGTTTGCAGCCGCAGGAATCATGGTGGGCTCCATCTACTGGACAGCCGTCACGTACGGCGCCGTCACAGTCATGCAGGTATGTATGTACGTACAGTACATATGTTGAACTTCTTTCTCACCGTACATAGCCAACCGTTCTAATCATAGGTGCGGGGGAAGGACAACAAACTAAACACGAAAATCAGTTGTAATGAAATGAGTTTTCAATCTGGTTTTCAAAGTGCACAGCTCCATTGGCTTCCTAATACATTGAATGGATAATGCATATTTATGTAAAATGTTATTTCCTGAGTTTTTATTTTATATTATTGAACCAATAGGATGTGTCGGTGTGTTTATATATGTATTTATGGAGGGACAGGGTATTTGTCCACTTGTGTTATCTTGTGACTCCGTGAGTCACTGTACACGCGACCTCTGTGCCCTGGGTGGTGGTGGTGGCCACGCACGTGGCTGCTGTAATCCAGCACTGTGGAGGCAGCAGCAGCAGCGAGGGTTGGTGGATCACACACAGATGTTTGAAAAATTCTCTTCACCGTGCGCGTCAAGGAGGAGCTGTACTCTGGCTTGAAATGCCTGCGCTGAGCCTGGTTGATGCTCCATTTGGCTCCGTCTCTTCGTCCCCTGCGCACAGAGGAGTGAATTAATAGTGGAGCAGATAAGTGCATTTTCTCACAAGAGTTGTTAAAATTGTGATATGAGACTTAAAATCCCCACTCAAAAGGTATCAGAGATGAACATTTTGTGTAAAAATGGTGGCCATCTCCAAAAAATGGCGTCCATCTATGTTTTTTAGGTGGCTAACATTTTCCTCTCATCAAGTGACCCTAGGAGAAAATACCTCCTGAGTCTGGTCCTTGTATCACCATTTGAATGATTAACCATGTCTGCTGCAATAGAAATGAAGCCTAGCAGCTCATTGAACCCTTCCTGGTCAAATAAATAAAAATATCGATCTAATCTAGAATTTAAATCGTGCAGATGAGGCGTCGTACTTATTGGCGAGAGGTTATTGGCATCCATGTTGGTCCAGATAACGTGCCATTTTAAAATCACAATTGGAGCAGAAATCCGTTCCTTGTCCCGTCCAAAAGAATAATATACAATATTTAATCCACTGGCCTGTTGACCTTCCACACCAATATTACGTAACATAGTTTGTTTAAGTGAAAAAATTCTGGACTGGTTTCAGCCTTCGGGGTCTCATCAGCAGAGTCATGCTTGTGAAACACGCTGCCCAGTTGCCGGGTTATTATTGGCTTGAGCGCTCCATCTAAATTCTAAGCAAAAAAAAAAATCTGCTTGTGATTGTGGTCTCTGGAGGACTGGTGACCAGGACTGCATTGGGCTGTAAAGCAAAGCTCACAGGGATGGGTCCGAAGGGTCATGGCAAGGCAGGTTCGACTGCACCTGCACGTGGGTGGTGTTCCTTACATGAGTCATCGCGCGTGGCCTCGCATCGGCAGCAATATGCACTAATACAGCGAGAGGCTGAACACATCAACACAACGAGTGGGTACTCTTTGGTTCTATTGGGTAAAGTCACGTAGGTAAAAAATAAAATAACAAAAATCACGACGTTTCGGCCACAACACAAGCGGCCTTCATCAGGTGAAGGGACGAGACTGTCTGGAGGACAGCGCTGGAGTGAAAAAAGCCACGCTCAGATCACGACCTTTAAGCTGTGTGAGAAGAAACAAAGCGCCTTGACAAAAGAATTATATAATTTAGCATTGAAATGGCTGAGTGATTAGCTTGTGACTGGTCACAGAAATGGCTATGTTAAAGTTAAAGCATACACATCCGCAGAGGCACCCCTTGACAAGTGGGTTCTTTGTAAAGCGGTTGCATGGAGGTGGCTAGTTGCAAACGCGTATGTTTTTAAATTAAGGTGTACAGAATCTTTTCAGTGCCAGTTACTTTCAGTTCAGCATCATCACATTCACTCTTGTGCAATGCTGCATGCGCGAAACCATTACAGTAACTGAGCAGTTTAGCGTAAAATAATATAAATATTTTAAAAACATCTTGCAAATTATACAAGGAAGGAAATGATGCGATCATTTCGGGAACAACTCTTCACTTCACACTTCACAACAAGCAGTACTTTATTATGTTTAAAAAAAAAATCCGTTCCAACATCATACATACTTAATTTTGCTTAATTGCAAAGAAAAAAAACGCAGCGTGTGTTTGTTTGGCTTCATTTGCACGTTATAAATAAATAGAGCGTTTATGCTGTCGCGCTGAGGTGTCTGAGCGCTCGGAGTGTGCCAGTGAAAATTCATCGCCGTCACAGCGCTCGGCCCACTTGAGATTTGAGCCCATCTCACACTTGCCAATGTTTCTGACAAATTTCTTTACGGGCAGATGGTTTGCGCTATCGTCTGTCCCATCTGCTATTAGCATAGGGGCTTTGCATATGCGGCGCACGGTAATGTCCCTCGCAAATTTGCACACAAAAAAACCTCAAAGCAGATCGCTTCACTGTCTTGGCCTAGCAAGGTCAGCTGCCTTGTCTTAAATCGAGTTTCTCCTTGAGTGCAAAGGAGTGGAAGCCATTGCTCAAGCTGAATTGTGTCACTGTAATGCTAACGTTTATTGGCTTTGTGACTACAGTGCTAGGCATTCTGGAGCACGATACTCTGTGTGCATACTGGAAATGGACATACCCTTCCTGTGATGTATCACTCAATGCACTGCGGGCAGCGACGGGGATTTACTTTATTGTTTAAACATTAGTCTTTGACTTAGCGTCAGCTTTCTGCGTGCAGAGGAACATCATTAATGTACAGAATTATAAAAAAAAAAATTACCGGCGGCTCATTTCCAATCTGCTTTGGAGGTTGAGTTGATAACAACAGTGACTCCTTCGAGGGAGGAATGTAATTTATTGTCCGGGGCCAGGGATGGGTCTGCCCTTTCGTGATGAGGCCTCTCAAAAAAGGCACCGGCAGATGTTGCGCGCGGACCTGCTCTTAGTCGCCACCCTGCACCCGTAATGAATTTCATTACTCATCCCGCGCAGATGGCCTCGTGCAGTGGCACACGGGAGCAATGAAAACATTAGCTCTGTTAATTGTACGAATCGCAGGCGGAAGGGCACCAGTGCCCGCATTTGATTTGCACCTCCGCGGGCTGCCTCCTCTAGATAAAAATACAGTATGTCGAGAGACTCCAGTGCTTTTTATGATTTTTTTAATTTTGGTTCTCCAGTCTCTTGTCTTTTCACCCCCACCCCCCCTGCGCACCACTGCTTCTACTACCTATTCTTTTTAATTTCTGTGCCATCTGTTCACATAGTTGTGCAGACGTAGGGAGCAAGTGTTCCAAGTTTAAAATGTCATGGCTTTATGTAATGTGTGCATATGCGTACGTATGCAGATTTGTGTTTTGTCCATATTTCGTGTACATTGTACATACCCACGCGAGAATGTGTGTATGTAGGCGTGTTCCACGGAGTTTTAATAGGCGCTCACTATCCGCACATGCCCCAACAGTCTTTGTGTCCCAGTGAGGTTCCTTATTTTTGCATTGTGTTTTAATTGCCAGTCTGGTATGCTTCGCTGGACACTTAAACGCAGTGATGTGATGATGTGCCCTGGGGAATGGCTGAACTAGTGCCATGCGTAACTCAAAATAAAACTAAAAACTTTTTTTTATTTAACCAGGTAAGGCCCACTCAGCTATATAGCTCGTTTTCAGAAGCGACCTGGCCACAAATGATAACCTCAACAAAGTGGCTTATCACGTGGAAATGTATAGCAGCCAAATACTCTAAACACACGTTTCTAAATTTGAAGGGGAAAAACCGGACTACCCGGAGAAAATCCACACGACCAAGGGGAGAACATGCAAACTCCAAATAAACAAGCGACGTATGCATGTGTTGGCCGCGATAGGTATTGGGCCACAAGGAGGGGCTGGACATGATGGAGCGAGCAGACCCCCTCTTCCTGCTCATTGGGCTGCCGACGATTCCCATCATTCTCATCCTGGGCAAGATGATTCGCTGGGAGGATTACGTGCTCAAGCTTTGGCGCAAGTACTCCAGCAAGCTCTACATACTTAACTACATCTTCCCAGGTGAGCTTTGGGGGTGGGAGTATTGGCTGCAGCGACTCTTGGCACGCAAACCCAGGTGGCGCTCTTACTCACTGCATTCTCTGCCTGCTAGCTTTGAGCTTCTGTCCAACATATTGGACATTCACTGGGTTTATTACAATGTGGGTTTTTTTTTATCCTTGAATGCCTCGCTGCGTCTCAGGATTTGGACAAATTGATGCTATTTCTTGCCGATTTGACAATTTTTCCACGGATTTTATTTCTGCCATTACAAAAATAATGGATTCATGCAATCAGGATTTATTTAGGTCTAATTACGACCGTATTTCAAGATGTACTAGGAAGGGGAACACGAGAATTATGAGGGCTAGGAGGCGGTGGAATTGAGGTCAGGTAAAGTGTCATTCTCGTATAAACCAGTAAAACGCAGGCTCCAGAAATTATAAATGTAATGATACAATGTGTCGATTGATAGTGATATGAAAGCTGGTTATTAAATTCTCAATTTACGCTTTTTATTTCCTATTCGCAATAAACAATGGATCCCTACTGCATGGACCTAGAGACAAGCCTTTGTGGTGGTTGTCTCCGGTTTAAAATGTACCCCGTTGGAGCCAGTCATGGATATTCCCCAAGGATCACGTCACATTGTGACACAAGGTGGCATCAATATAAATTAATATAATTGTTATTTATTATCTGAAAGTTAATACCACCATTAAGCCTCTTACACACGTGTCCATTGCTGTATGTATATACATACATTGCTTAGGTGGCCTCTCTGCAAAATTTCCATCGCCAGATTTTATAATCCCACACTCATCGGTTTAACGTTGTCCGTAGAGGAGGACACTGATCTGCGAATGGTGTCGGCGCACATTGCCATGTTTTGCCGAGGAAGCCGTGCAGACTCGGACACAATGCTGGTGTCCCTGAGGGTGTTTTATTTTTACTCAGAGCAGCGCCAGCACTTGTGAAGAGTCTGTGCCCTTGGTGCCTCTGTGTTGTAAGAAAACGCCACGTGCCAGTCTCTCAGTGCGCAGCGTGGCGCACACACGTGTACAGATTGCATTGGCGCCGTAAATCAAAATTAGAGGACTAAATAAATAGAAGGTAATGGAAGTGAATTAACAGATGAATAACTAGAACCATCACAGTTGGGCACACTGCATGAGTAATAAATCATCGGCTGTACAAGTCGCTGTTTTCTTGTGGGCACTTCCATTAAAATAAATAAAACACATTTGATATAGGAACGTCGGTTAATAGCTGTGTGTCGATCACCGAAACGTTTTTGGTAATAGCTGCTCAAAATAGGTGTCCTCTGGTGGTGCGGTGATGAATCAAATTTACCTTGGCAATAATGCCTCCTTATTTCCATAATTAAATCGGGCACCGCGGTTATTTAAAAACTCGGTTGCGTACGCACCTGTGATGAATGAAGCTTGGGGAGGGTAATGCAAACTGAAGAGGCGGCTTCGATAAATCAGCCTCGGACCTGTCCCGCATCGAATGGGTTGCTGCGAAACAAATGAGCTGGAGCGGCCCATGAATTCTGCATGGAAATAAAACCCTCTGGAGGCAGGAGGAAATGTTTAAAGCCAGCGTGGGCGGCAGCAAGGGGGGGGGATGATTTGTTTGCGAGCTGATCAGCGGAGCCTACGCCAGGAACAGTATTTTGCAATGCATCACCGGTTTGATGAGTACTGTAGAAGGTTTTATTGTAAATTGAGAATTCACTAATATGATGTGTGGTTTGTATGTTTCATTGTGATTAAAATGCCAAGCCCTTCCAAAATCAAATCAGTTTGGGGTACGGAGTTGTGGGCTGGGGAAATACTGTGGCAGTTTTGGAGGGTGGTTTTTTTATATTTTGCATTGCCTTTATTGGTTTATAGGCATAACGGCAAAAACAAAATTTACTACAGAAGACACTCAATGTATGGACTCAGACTAATTGGAATTTGCTTTGGGGCATGCCAAATGTTCAACAGAAGCAAGACCTGGCTCTTATTTTAATGTATGTAAAATATCTTTACTTTGAAAAACAATGCATTTCATAATCACACTCTGAAATCACCTCTCTACCATCTCAATTAACACTGCCAAATAATGTGTTGGAGCAGCAGCCTATCAGAGTATAAGGGAAGATTGAGGTCACGTTAGGGGACAAGTGGATCTGCCCTGTGCTCGGCAGTATGCTGGTGAAACTCAGCTCTTGTGAGTGACTGCTTGAAAACAAACACCTGTATTTTTTTTGGTTCCTGTTATTAACATTTCGCCAATGTTTTATAGGCCTGCAATGCTCCAAGTCCTCGCAGCAGAGCATTTTATCTCCGTGGGCTCTCACCTAGTTCAAAGTGAAATCAATTGACTGGTTCCATTGATTGGATGTTCCACAATGGGTAATTAAAATACATTACCGTACACCTCACAATATAGTACTGTGAGTGTGATGAAAGAAAAACAGTTTTGTCACTGTTCACATGTACTGGAATGGTCACTTGTTGGCACACCTCCTATGACGATCAATTATAATTACAATTCCGAAGCAATGTTAAGTGAAATTACATTTTACAGTGCGATCTCAATTCATAGCAAATTGCACAGTTGGTAATGGCCGTAGGTCTGCTCCTGGAAGCCGAGTAAAAGTGCCGCAAGAGAGCGGGAGAGGGGACAACACGCGCCACGCGACGAATGTGGAGGGGCGGGGGGGGGACGCTGGTTCACACGTGGGGGCGGTGATGGGTGATGGCGCGGGTGACGGTGCGGTGACGGTGCGGGTGAGGTGATGGTGACGGTGCGGTGACGGTGCGGGTGAGGTGATGGTGACGGTGCGAGTGATGGTGCGGGTGACGGTGAGGGTGAGGGTGACGGTGAGGGTGATGGTGCAGGTGAGGTGATGGTGACGGCGCGGTCACGGTGAGGGTGATGGTGCAGGCGACGGCGTGGCGTCGGCGAGGAAGACGGTGTGGTGACGGTGCGGTTGATGGTGCGGTGTCGGCGTGAGAGACGGCGTGGTGATGGTGCGATTGCCGTGTGCCCCAACGCCGCAGGTGTGTGCGGTCCCGTGCCGCGGATCCCAGCCGAGACGAGCCCCCTGGCCGACCACGTGTCGGCCACGCGCATCCTGTGCGGCGCGCTCGTCTTCCCGACCATCGCCACCGTGGTGGGCAAGCTCATGTTCAGCCGTGTCAACTCCAACCTGCAGAGAACCATTTTGGTGCGTAGCAAACACATTGCCGTGGTGGGGAGGTGGGGGGGGAAGGACTGTGTCCGTAGCTTGAGATGGATTTTTTAATTGTAATGATCATCTTCAAACTCATTGACTGGGATCAATCCACTGCTGGATGAACACCTCCAAGTTATGACTGCCCAGAATGACAATCAGAGTATTTGTTCATACTAGAGGAATCCGATGAGCTATAAAGCTCTATTCCACAGATGTCCGGTAGTTTTACAGATGTCCAGTAGCTCCACAGATGTCCAATATATTAGCACAGTTGGCTACGTACGGTGCGAATGAAGTCCAGCGTACATACATCTATCACGGCTCTACGATGTAACAATCCATCTAGTATCTGCACACCAGCGAGTTTCATCGCTCGTGTCTCTGCATTGGACGGACTTTCGAGCGTCTTTCCTCCGTTAGCTGCCACCCTGTCGCTAGTCTCGTTAAAGGTCGCTTCATATCAGAATCACAACCTTTATTTAGACTGGAGGAATCCGATGAGCTATGAAGGTCTTTTTCACAGCTGTCCAGCAGGAGGCGTGTCAGCAAGTTACAAAAACAATAATAATGCAGTACTTTAAAAAGCAAAGTTGGTAGATCACACAGATTTGATTGTGCACTGTAGAATTCACTTAAGCTGCTGGGCTGTGAGGTGGACACATGATTGCAGTACAAGTGGGTTCGTGACCTATCCAGTAGATTATTCATTGTGGGTTTTCTTTGATTTCCTTTTCATTTCATAAAAAAAATGTTCCTGAACACAGACTTGTCCAACTTCTCAATACTTGCAAGACCCATGTGATGCTTGCAAACGGCATTCCTGGATAAATTGAAGATGCTCGTGATTTATTTATGTTAAAGCGCAGCCGCAGGAAACTACACCCACTTAAAATATCACTGGTGTTCGCTCAATATAGAGCCATTCACCCTTGCGGAATTCTTCACCGCGCGACTTTAGTCGCAAACGACAAACGATTGTTTTTCTTTGGGCAACGAGCAGCCAGCTCGTTAGAGGTGGGACATTTCACACCCGCCACCACCCCAGAGATGTGATCACCTAATTATGATTCGATTATTTTCTGTATTACATTATGGTGAATTGGGACGGGGGGGGAGGTGCCTTCGAGTGGCAGAAGAGGTTATTTGAACCAGTTAGCCACGAAATAACTAAAAACATTAATAATTATTACGGATGTGGTGCCACGCGTGTATTTTGCATTGGCATTAGCCAAGTAATTGTGGTGCATCATTCTACCGCAGGTGTTCGTGACTACATCCAGCTTAAATTTCACTTCATGTCCTGAAAGTCGGTCTAAATAATGCCGTTGCATATATGCCATTAAAAGGAAGACACAAATAAATTGGCGACTTATAGCCCTTGCAAAATTTAAATTTCATACATGCTTAGCTTCATGTGATAGTACAAAATAGTTGTAAGGAAAATGTTGCAGATGCAATTTAAAATTTAGTTAGTATTACAAGTTTCCCATTACATGACATTTCCCTCTTAATAGTATTATATTCGAAAAAGTTTCAAAGTAAAATAATTCACGGAAATAGAAAATTACAAACAACTGTTACGTATTGTTTGTGTTTTTTAAAACAACAAAAATCCATTTTCTTTGGGGCTTTCGGTAAAGCCACGTAGATAGAAAAAAATAATCAAAATAATAACAATATCACGATGTTTCGATCGCAACACAAGCAATCGTCATCAGGTGAAAAAAGAGGGGGAAATCTGCCGAGGGAAGGCTGCTTATAAAGGTTTAGAGATGGGCGGGGCAGCTAATATTAATGTGGGGGAGGTCTCCGTAACCTGCAGTCGGTCTACACCAATCAAAGAGCTGTTTACAAATGGTTTAGAGGTGGGCGGGGCAGCTAATGTTAATGTTGGAGAGGTACTACGGAGCTGTGGGGGGTGGCCATTGTATTGTGAGAGATTAGCATGTCAATGTAAGACAGTGCAGTGGCCATGTATTTATTATTAAGTTGTAAATTATGAAGTTGTAATGTTTTGGTCAACAAATACATTTTATGAAAATGTTGGCAAAAGGATATTCCCCACACAGTTTTAATGTCGATTCCCTGTGCTTGTCGTCGACGATGATTGTCGTGTTAAAGTGCTATTCTACAAACATTTGCAAGAGCCATAAACGGTTTTGAAACAAGCAGACGCCAAAAGGGCCAAGCGTCTTCGCGTACGTCCTCGGTGTCGCATATCATTGCCATGCGTGGAGGTGTCAACAGATTTCATTATAGGCCATTGATCGCCTTTTGCCTCTCATTGTGGGGATCAATCCCACGCAAGAGTGATCTGAACTCTCGCGTGAAACAAGGAGATGAACCGGCCGCGGTTTTACAGCCATCTGGTGCGACATGCACGCATGCTGCGTTGTTTGACCGAACATCAATTACGTGTAATAGTTCACAAATCTGCCACAGAATTACTGCACGCTGCATATATATATTTTGTTGAAAACATTGGACCAACATTTATGATTCTGAGAAGGTAGTAAATAAATAACCTTGTTAGTACGGCCTGAGAATTAGACTCCGTCGTCCCTTGCGGACAAATGTTCAGAAGGACACAGTGCATAGATTACGTGCTCACTCTTGACTGGAGTGCGCTTTGAAGACGCATACTGAGATATTATTAATAATAAAGTACGCATAGCTGTTTGTAAATCCAGTGCTGTATTAGGGCCTTCCACACACCATTTTGGTCTTAGGGGTTGTTTAATAATACATCAATGTTGATCAGTGCAGGTTGCTGAAGGTTGAGAGGCCCCCGCCACCTTGTTCAGATATCACTTGCCATTGAATTCGGGTCACCGGGTCGGTATCGTAAAGTTCTGTTGAGCTGCCCGGTCAAGGTTTTACATTACAAGTTAACGTTCACAAATATTCCAAGTTTTCCATGGCGCTGTGTCCCACATTGCCATGTATCCAATGTGTTCACACGTGCCACTTAGTGCAAAAGGACACATTTGATCTGGGTGGACTGGGTAATGGGGTTTGAGAGCAGGTCATTTTCTCATTGGATACGCAAGCTAACCGATTGCTTCGCTCCACCCTGGCAGGTTTCTGAGCTTTAATTGAGGCAATTAGGACATGTGCCAATAGGAGTTTCTCAACTGATGCTGTTTCCAACCGATGGTCTGTCTGCTGGCGTCAACACAAGGGGGTAGTCGCCACCTGGATTTAGGTGGCATTGCTAGAACAAGCGGGTGGGATTCCTAGGCACTTGGTGGCCAAGTTCCCGCAGTCTGTTAGAACAACAGTCGTCATTCACCGCTACATGGTGGCATCGCTTGTGCCACGCTAGGTGCACTTTGAGGCCATGTGAAGTGTTGAATAGTCGCCGGCTGGTCACGGGACAGACCCAGGTGTTAAGGGTTGCATGTATGTATGTTGAACTTCTTTCGCGCTATACGTAGCCAACCTTGTGAATCGGAGGTGCGGGGGAAGGACAAACTAAGCACAAAAAGCAATTATAAAGAAATTAGTTTTCAATTTAGGGTTGACTTACTGAGATGACTGGCAAAGGCACCACCTGTGTAAATTAGATTTTTTAAATATAGCAAGAAAAGTTGTACATAATGGGAGTTGCCATTAACTGGCACAGTCATTAAATATTGCCCAATGATGCGCAGCAGTTGTGCTCACCCCACACGCACCCCTCGTGTTGACCCAACAGGCCCTCCTCGTGTGTATTTCGGGGGCACAGCTATCGTCCATAGCAGACTAAATTTAACCACCGCGGCCAGGTTCTGCACTCAGTTTTGATACCTGTGCAGAAAGTTGGACTGACTCAGGCATTAATAATTCGCTGGATGCCTCAGGTTTACTCGGTCACACCCATTCACGTGGACATCCGCTGACGTCTGGCTCGACATTTCATACCGATAAATCCAAAGTAATTAAATTGGCTCTAATAGCGCAATATTTCTCAAAGATGGGTTTTACGCTCAGTAGCATTTATTCAGCTGTTTTCCTGTTTGTGTATGAGTATCTGGCCGGATAATGTTGTGGGAGAGTGCCTGGCTTGTGCTGGGAATGTCGTGAGTTAATATCCTAGTCGGAGGGGGTTGAAAGAGCTCAGCATTTTTCCCAGGCTAAATAAACTATGGTGCCACTTTTGTGAGAAGTCATCAGTGGATGTTCTATTTTGATGTGACTGGACCCCTGCCATTGAACTGTGGAATATTCACCACAAGCTCATGGATGTCAACGCAGATGATCACTGCCCTGTGCTCCTTTTTAATTCACCAGGCTGGCCAGTATCGGTTTGTGAAGGGTCAAGATGTGGCCTGAAATCGAACTCGGTTTTGTCATAACTTTTGGGCATACTGTGAAGAGACTGGCCACTGCCATGGGAAAGTGTAATTTACAACACAGGCCCCAGGGCGATCTGGAGTGACACTTTGTACATAAGTTTACCGTATCATTGCAGGCTTTTGTAAATCCACTGCTGCTATAAGGGATCCCGAAGCCATTTTAGGTGAAGGGGGTTGTTTGACAATACTTCACCATGCTGGTCAGTGCAGGTTGGCAGAGAGCTTGAGTGTAGAGCCAGGACACGTCTAGTTACCGCTCTCCACTGATGTTAGCTGTGGCCTGGAATCGAACTCATAGCGCCGCATTCATAGCGCAGTGCGTGAACCACTTCGCCTCCGCTCCACCCCACGCTTTTGAATCTCATGTGCACTCCAACCTAACCTGGCTGCGTACATAAATGCGTAAACACACAGCGCGCACTCTCCCTGTGTTAAACGCCAGAAGTAAAAATATATATTTAAAAGGTTGTGGTGGAAAAGCACAGCGCGTGCTCGGGAAGCTGCTTTATCAGCTCTGATGGGATTGTCCTCGCCTTGCCTTGCTGATAGCGCTGTCGACCTCGCATGAACCTGCAGTCACTGCCGAGCGCCATCCAACCCCCCGCCCCGCCACCAGTTTGTAATTGCTAATGGCGTACACCACGAGCGCCGCTA